AGTAGCAATAAGGTTTTTGGACCAAACTATTGAAAGTACGGAGATTCTTAGACCAAACTATCAACTGAGAGCATTTTTTTATTTATTTTATATAATTTAAGTGCATTTTTTAACGTTTTTCCAGTTTATAAATTAATATCTACGAGGTGATCACATGTCTGCTTGTTATCAATTCGTAATTTTGACATATGTGGGGTTATCAGCTCAATTGATAATATTAAAAGCAGAGTTTTCAGAATATTCAATTAAGAGAATTCTTTTAGATAATGTCAGTGAGTTTACATCTCAGCCTTTTAATGATTATTGTATATTACTCCCTCCATCCTATTTTATGTGAGGTAGTTTGATTCAGCACGGAGTTTAAGAAAGAAAAGAAGACTTTTAAAACTTGTGGTCCAAAATGAATGATAGAAATTTATATGATTGTAAATCATTTCATTAAGGATATAATAGACATTTTATGATTAAATTGTACTTAATATAGAAATATGTCATTCTTTTTTAGACCGACTAAAAAGGAAAGTAAGTCACATAAATTGAGATAGAGAGAGTAATTGGGATAACAGCTTAGCATTCTATGGCTCGTGTTCATGTGATATGAAATTAGAATTTGAAATCATGTTGTATGAAATCATGATTTGAAATTACTATATCAAACTTGGCGTGAAAGGGTTGGTTTGGAACAACAAGATTTGAAGGTGTTTAAAAATAGGCTATTTTGGAAGGACTTATGAGGTTCTGTCTCGTGCAAGCAGCTATTGACACGCCGTTGTCACAGTCAAATATAAGATTCAAGCACTTTCTCATACAGGGTATTATGTCAAAAACAAACAAATTGAAACGGAGTAAGAATATCAATGTTCAAAACCCAATGGCAGAAACCATAATATAAATTGAACAAAGCACACTTCCATTTTAATACTGAACAATGAGAAAACCAGAGGCAACTGGTATACTTAATCAAAGACTAATTTTTAACCTCAGACAGAAATGCGTCTAGTTCAATATTACAAACAGTTCAAAACACCAAAAACAAACTTCTAAAGAAACAAAACTGTTGCTTAGTGAGAAATGCTTTTTAGTTCATCCTCCTGATGAGCTCATTGATGAAATTCTCGCGATTTCCAGCATCACCACCTTCAACATAGTGGTTTCTCTTCTTTTTGAGTCCACCAAGAGGTGCCTTGAGTTGGAAAGGCCATAGGAAGTTGTTAGCCTCCTTGAAGTGTGGTCCCACAGTGATGATCTCGTGGACGAGATCTTCGATGCAAATAATTCCATGTTTGCCCAACACCTACAACATGGGAGCATTGTGATGAAAAAGCTGTAGAGATTAGGGTATCCTTTCGTTTGAAGCTTGGGGGATTCTTGAATTTACAACAACCAAGTTCTTCTCGAAATCAATTCTACATGTTATGATTTATAACATATATTATAGCCAAAGAAATATCCAGACGAATTATGTTAAAGAGATGTTTGATAGGGCACTATGAATGAATCTCAAATATACTTTGCACCAACCTGCTCAACAACAGCATTGTCGGTCAAAGCAATTCTCTGCTTGTCTACCTTTCCATAACCTCGTTTGTAGATCAATTCTTTAATACTCTTCAAGTTGGGATAGCTGGGAAAATTAAAGAGATCAATCAATCAATAACAGATCGAGGAACTCCGAAATCAAAATCAATCTCAGAAGGACACAACGCATTAGAAAACAAATTGAAATATACCCATATGTAACATATGGCTCAACCCTATGCAGCATGTTCACGGTGGCCTTGTTAACTTTCAAGAAGACACCGTTGAAGATCTGTCATATAGCAAAGAGTCATCTCATTAGACGGACAAAAATGAGCTGGGTAAGTACTAAAACAAGAACAATAAGAGAGACTTACATAGAGAAAACCAAATAAATATTCCATGTACAAAAGTTTAAAAGCAATTCAATAGCAAGTTGCGTATCTTCAGAAAAGATCTAAGAAAAGAGAACAAGCAATCTAAAACAAGAGCATAGCTGTAATGCCTGGACAGAGATTGGTATGTCCTTTCGCAACACAACTTAGTCTTTGTAACAACTCACTAGTGGAAATCATGAAGTAACCACAAAAAGTAAAAGATGTACAAAGTAAAATGGCAGTCCAATCATGTACTATCACAGGGTAAAAGATAAAAGTATGTGCAAGGTTACATGATAAGAAAGTGTAATGAATGAATCGACTAAATAATGTAAAGCCTAGATGTTAGAAAATGAAATTAATGAATCAACTCCTCCATCCAAGTTGAATGTCAAAGGTTAGCTTGGCATGGATGTAAATAGATGAAATTGGAAGCTGAAATGCTACTCTAAATCTTTCGGACTGAAAACAACATGTAACTGACCATAATAATGGTGCAGTCCACATCCAAGTTGAGCAGATTGAATCACTTAAAGTTACAGAGTGGCATGGAAACTAGAGAAAGGAAAATATAATCCAATAATACATAAAGTAGATCATCATTTTTTTGTGCCAGCTAAAAACTTGAATAAGCATCCCCTTGCGGATTTTTATATATATTAGACAGGAAACATCAATAACTCACCTGCCGCAATCTGAGAAGCTGCAGAATCTTTTTTGTCTGAGGGGGCATTGCGTTAATCCTGAAAATTCAAAATGACAGTCAAGAAAAAAGAATCAATTCATCAAATCCCTGATTTAAACAATCAGGCAACATCTTACCCACGGATTCTGATGATGAAGAGCAACTTAGCCTCTGGATCAACATAGAATCCTCCCTTCAATCGTGCCTCGCGCTTCAAACGGATCAACTCCTTCTCCTAAATGCATAACACAAACTCTTAAATACCACATTAACAGAGGGAAAAAATCAGCATCATTTTCTGAAACATTTGAGTTTATAAATTACCTGCTCTGAGTACTCCTTCGCATACTGTTTAGCTCTGTTATAGATAAGTTTGCGATTCTCAACACTCTTTTTCTTGGCAACTGCAAGCTCTTGCTTCTTTACAAGAGCCCACTCCTCATTCCTTTTCTGCTTCTTCAATACCGACTCTGGAACAACTACACCTCCCTCGCCCATATCTCTAATCTACAGCACAAAAATACAAGTTTAGAAACACAGCAATACTCTGAACAGAAAAAAAAGATAACACCACGTCCCCCTCCCACACACACACACAAAATTTCAAGAATCAAACAAATTGAAGCTTTTGACACAAACCCATTTCAACAAATCAAAAACTAAGGCTATTATCTAAAACCCCAAATCAACGATTCGATCAAATGCTTAAACTTCATACACAAGCCCATTCCAAAACGCCTAAGCCTTGTATCTTTTCCTTTAGCTCAAAAAGTATGATTTTTTTTTTTAAAATGCTCAAAAGATTGATAAACTCATAAGCAAAACATAAAGCGAAGACGAGAATTTGATTACCCTATGGATTCCTGCGGCGGCGTCTCTTCTCTGCAGCGTTCTTCCTTCTCTGAACTAGCTGAGGCTAAGTTCATTTGATTTATGTAGTAGGGTTTTTGGAGAATATGTTCTTACTTTTGGGCCTCTACGTGGCCCAATTAATCAGGCCCAAATTTAGTTCCAACATTCAAAATTATCCATTTTATAAGGACAATATATGCTCTAGTTTTTGGACGGTAGAAGTAATAATGTACCAAAAATATAACGAAAAGTATCTACATATCATTTACGATAATTTGGGGATATATTTGTCCTTTTTCCCCATTTTATATAGTATGTTTAAGACCATAAGATTAAAGTTCATTTTGGTACATTACACATACTTTTAATTTTACGAAAAAAGGCCAAATATACTCCCCCTAACTTTTAAAATTGTATGCATATCTATTTATACTTTTGAGGTTATATATACCCTTATCGTTATACTTTTGAGCCTTATATATCCTTACACCAAATGCCGAAACATGTGGTGATATCTTAACAATATAACCTATTTTATTTTATTTTTTACCTACAAAATTGGGTAAATTGTTAAGATGTTGTCACGTGTCTCTCTATTTGGTAAAAGGATATGACTAAAAAGTATGATGGTAAGGGTATATACAACCTCAAAGTATAACTGAGGGTATATGTATGCTTTTTTGAAAGCTCGTGTGTATATTTGTTCTTTTTCCGTTAATTTTATCCCACAAGATTCAAAAATCTTCTTTACTTTCTTAAATTTCGAGTTAAGTCAAAATATGTAAAGCAAATTAAAATGGAAGGAGTAACATAGTATTAAAATTGAATATTTTGACCTTTAAATGAGTTAAGTTTTTAATTTGTGTACCTCAAACGAACACATCTAGTAAGACATACTTCTTTAGAAATTGAATTCATTTGTTATAAGGTCACATGAGATTATTTTCGATAAGATATTCACTGGTCCATATTCTAATAATTTTCCCTTTAAAAATTATGTTGCAACAGTTATATGCATAGTAAATTTATTCAATTGACTTTTCTTTTTTTTGTATTCATAGTGATATACAATTGTAAATATAGTTGAATCACAGTATCTTACTTAAGTATGCAATGTGTGAATTGTATATCCTATAGGCATATGCTTTTCAAAAAAAAAAACTTAATACATAACCAATTTCATAAATTTGCTAGGGTATTTTTATTTTAAAAATTGTGTATTCTCATATGTCTATGAAATAGTTAAGTTAACCATATAAAATACTATGTTATTTTCTTTAGTTATATACATTCACCTCAATTAGCCATAAAATTTCATGCGTTTTCTACTTGATGTTAATGCTTATACTTAAAGAAGATGACATATTTTATGTGTTTAATTTAATTATCTAATGGACGAATCATGAATCGAAAGGGTGTTAAAAGTTGATGTGTTCAGTTGGAACAAGACTTAATTTCAGTATCTAAGTGAATATCACAACAAATTTAAAAAACTAATTATGTATTAAGCCATAAATAAATAATTACATTAGTGGAGGGAGATAAGAGGAAGAGGAATGCTATCCCAAAAAAAAAAACACCATAGTCAATATAGCCAAAAGTGATTTCGTTGGTTCAATATACAAATCAAACAATTATAAGCATATAAATTTGGTTCATATTTTTTTACAAATTCCTATATATCATGAAATAATTAAAAGAAACAAAAAACATATAGAATATCTAAAAACAAATTCTATAACAAAAGTGAACTAGCTAAATCTGCTGCAAGTTTAGCTCTTAAATCTTTTCGAAGTATTTTCCCTGATGGAGCTTTTGGAATTTCTTCTATGAAAAATACTCGATTTATTCGCTTGTAAAATATAACCTGTATGCAACATAATTTTATTAGTTACGTATGATTAAATTATTTCTAAATATATATTTTTAAACGAACTAATAAAAAATGATATTTACCTGTTGGGATACATATTGTTTAATCTCTTCCTCAGTAATATTACTACCATTTGCTTTCACTACAAATGCAATAGGAACTTCTCCAGCAACTTCATCTTTCATCCTATAATTAAATGGACAGGTCATTAATTCGAATTTTAAAAAAATGTATATTTTCATAAACTAATTTTATCGTAACGACTTACGGGACAACAGCAGCATCAATAATGTTTGGATTAGAAATAAGCATAGCTTCTAATTCAGCAGGAGCCACTTGATATCCTTTGTATTTTATTAATTCTTTTAATCTATCGACTATGAACACTTGATCATCATCATCTATGTATCCAATGTCACCTGTATGTAACCATCCTTCTTTGTCTATTGTTTCCTCAGTTGCTTTTGGATTATTCAAATATCCTATTCATATTCGAAAATTCGAAAATTTTTTAGGTTAGTATAAACTTATATGCAACAAAAATAGAAAAGAGAGTGTGCGGAAACACACTGTCAGTATATAAAAGTTCGATCAATACATTAAAGGAAAAACTGCATAATTGGGCATATATCATTACCATATATACTATTATTACCTATACTATCATAATATTATGTATCTCACCACTAATTAAGAGTCTCCTACATATCTTTACACTTATATACATGTATTTTTACTACCAGATACACAAAAATAGGGAGAGAGGCGAGCGGGATTGGAGAGGGAGGCGAGCGAGATTAATTCGTATGTATCTCCGATACATGCGAATCACACTAGATACAAACTAGATATATGTATCTGGAGTGATTTGCATGTATCTGGGATACTAGATACTTGGGAGAGTGGCAAGCGAGATGGGAGGGAGGTGAGCGAGATTTGCTATGTATCTCAGATACATACGAATCCACTTGGATACAATGTATCTAGAACAAATTACACTTAAATATGACCTCATGTATATGAGATACATGTATTTGGAGGCATCAAAATCTGGTAAAATACATAAAATTATAAACTAAAGTGTATCAAAGTAATTAGCTCCTAAACTAATGGGATTTAGGTAAGTCTCTGCATTAAATGGAGTTGGAAAAGAAACATTTCATATTTGAGCCAATAAACATGGGCTAAACATTTGTTGAAGGCCCATATATTGTATTTTAATGGGCCAGAAAACTTCTAGGTCTCATTATACTTGGATCAAAACACAACAATAAAGTGAATTTTTAGGTCAATTAATATTATTGGGCCTGACTATGATCTCTATCGATATACTTAATATTAGAATTAACGCGAACGCGTATATCACCTTTCATGATCTGATCACCTCTAATGCATATTTCTCCGGCATGATTCCGGGGAAGCAGTGTTCCGGTGTTGCTATCGACGATCTTCATCTCGGCGTTACGAACAACTGTCCCACAGGAACCTGATTTGACATCAAACCGTTGTTTTGCAAATGCTAAACACATTGATAATACTGGGCCTGCTTCAGTCATGCCATATCCCTATTCAATTTAATGTGTATATCACAATAAGTCATAACATTAGTTTAAAGACTTTAGCCCAAATTGCACATGATTTGGTCTTTTTCTAGCTTTATTTATGTCTTTTGCCATAAATGCCGTTTTGTTTGTTAAAAATTGACATTTGATGTAATAAAATACACTGACAATAGTAGTACTATCATGTCATCTAAATGAAAATTATAATGATCCATAAAAATAAGATTTATAACTTGGAAAATAAAAGGGTAAAAATCAAACTATCTCTAAATATAAAAATGTATCATTTATTTTCGAGATAGATTAATGATAAAAGAATGTACATAGGAATGTTAAATAGATCGCCCTCCTATCATTGTTTTCTCCTCGCAAACCAGATCTATTTAGTTGTAAAGCTTAACTAATATACAATGTTAATATAAAATATATGTATATATATACACTCACTCTTTATTTGTCTTACTTTTCTTTTTTGTCCCTTTTTTTAAAAAAAATGTCTCTTTCCCCTTTTGACAACTCTTTAATTCTAATTTTCAACGTGACATGTTTTAGACTAGAAAATTAAAAGATATTTTGGTATATTCTACATATCTTTAAGTTTAAATCACAAGATTCAAAAGTCGTTTTCTTACTTTCTTAAACTCTATGTCAAATTAAAATCAAACAAACAAATTGAAACAGGACAAATATATATACCACAAGTGTGCTTCAACTTATTATAGCATATTATTTACCTTAATTTTTAGATTATTAATTATTTGTTTGTGTTCTTACACCATAAACAAATATTATGTTCTCTTAAAACTTTTTTATGATGATGGTGTTCGAGCCATGGCTCTCGCGCATACACCTCAACTATTTCAATTCAGGTACCTAATAACTCAAGTATAGCTACTAGAAAAATCTGTCTATCAAAACTTAGAAAAATGAAACGAAATTACTTAATTCTTTTAGTCCATCTCAATCACTAGGCCGGCTATATACATATAGTTGAGTGCAAATATTCTTCTATAACACTAGAAATTAAAACTTATAAAATATTGTTTTTTTAAAAAATTATATAAAAAAATAAAATAAAAAATTGTAGGATTTTACCTGTCCTAGTATGGCATTAGGCAATTTAGCTCTAACAGTATCTTCAAGCTCTTTTCCCATTGGTGCTGCCCCTGACATTATCATCCTTATAGATGACAAATCATATTTATCTACCAATGGACTTTTTGCAATAGCCAATACTATAGGTGGCACAAATGGTGCAATTGTTACTTTATATTTTTCCACTAACTCCATTAATCCTTTTATCTCAAATTTTTGCATTATCAAAATAGTTGCACCAACTCTCAATCCACAAAGCAAAATTGAATTGAGAGAATAAATATGAAACAATGGCAAAACACACATGATCACATCTTCACTATGGAAATAAAGATTAGGGTTTTCACCATCAACTTGTTGTGCCACACTTGTAACAAGTCCTTTATGTGTTAGCATCACTCCTTTTGGTAACCCCGTCGTACCGGACGAATAAGGTAATGCCACCACATCATCAGAAAGAATTTTTACACTATCAGATAAAATGATGTTGTCATCAGTGCAATTGTTTTCGTCAGATTGATGAGTAGTAGTTAACAATAACTCCGCGAAACTAAGGCATCCATCGGGTAACGGCAAGGAATCGTCCACACACACGATTTTAACTCTATTTTCCTCAGCGTAACTCTTGATTTTATCGACGTAGCAAGATTGTGTTACGATGAGCTTCGCGTTCGATGCTTTCGCTTGCTTCGTGATTTCGGACGGAGTGTAGAACGGGTTTGCGGTCGTGCTAATCGCGCCTCGGAACGATGCTCCGAGGAACGAGAACACGAATTCGGGCGAATTCGGAAGTAAGAGCATGATGACATCTCTTTGTTCGATACCGAGTTTGTGGAGCCCGAGGGCGATTCTTTTGGCAGTAAGATCAACATCGGCATAAGTGTATGTCGCACCCGTGGCACTATTGATTAAACAAGTGCGTGAACTAAATTGAGAAATGTTTTCAAAGCAATATTTGTGAAGAGGTAAATGATTTGGGATGTAAATATTAGGAAGTTTTGATCTAAAAATGTATTGATCATCATGATCATGATGATTAATTTCTAATTTGTTGATCATTTCTTCCATAATCTTTTGTTTTTGCTTTGGAGAGAGAGAAAAGAGAAGGTGGCTTATAGGTATAACTTAGATGAATAATCTTTACATTCAACTTTGGTTTGTTTGGGAATTGGTAAGTTATAGACAAAGGCAAGAGGATTAGGTGATGGTAGAGGGGTCTAGTAAATTAATGGATTAGCTATTGGTTAAAAAATGGTTTAGAAAAGCATATAAAAGTGGATAAGCTACCTTGGACAGCTCATTATTTTTATGCATTTAAGTTATATATATTAGAACGTCAAAAATAATATAACTGGTGTAATTTCATAAAATGAATTCGGGAAGAATAAGATGTATACAAACTTCATCTTTATGCTTATGGATAGAGACTAGAGAAATTATTTTCGATAGACCCTCGACTTAAAAGAAAGTTATTCATAAAAGGATTTAAAAAAATGGCAATATAATATCAAAATACGAATTACAAAATAAAGCAACATATAGTAAAATAACATAAAAGAATAGAAAACTACGTAATTACTAATACTATAAAGTTGTGTTTACACTATGAGTGAAATTTATATGATATAGAAAGTTAATTATTATATTATCAATTGATGTTTATTAAGATATTCAGCAGTAAATACCTAATAAGCAATATGATTATGTGTATATTTTTTTGCATTGTTAATGTATAGAACTTAAACTCAATATACTTATTATACACAATTTATAGTAATAATAGAGGGTACAAATTAAATTGTTTTTTTTAATCAGAATGTTAGTGAAAATAACGATTTTTCGCATATCAAATTTTAAAAACGAAGTAAACGTATGATCCTCGACATTAGATAGAGTGTTTAGCAGACTATATAGTGCATCCATATTTGTCGAAAGAATTTAATATGGTATATTCTTATGGTTACGATTGAATTATTGCAATCAATTATATCTAAATATCCAAACAATTGCAAATTCAACGCTTTATGTGTTATAAACACAGATTACAATTTGGTTGTAAATCAAAATTGATTTCGAAAAATATGATACTATAATAAGTCCATATATACGTGAATAGAAACTTTTTCTTCATTAAAGTTAATAGTTATACTAATCAAGGGTTATATTTGGAAACAAATCAAGATTGAATCCATTAACTTGTTTGACCATATTAAGATATATGATTTGCTCTTCGTAATTCAATTTTGGACGATTCAGATATTGATATTATTAGTGTAATTTAACGTGTAACAACAAGCATTTTTAGATAGAAGTTCATGTGGAGATATTACGTTAGCAAAAGTGTACGTGTTCACCTAACATAATGACTAGAAAAAAACATAACTTATATTAATACACTAACATATATTGTAATATATTAATAATAATAATAATAATAATAATAATAATGTGTTTTTATATGAAAGAAAATTAAATCTAGCTAGGTCAAAACTTTGAAAAAGTCTATACACAATGTAACAAATGGTACAGCATACCTACTTTCATACTAAAAATAGTTATATATATTTGTTTGCATGCTTTGTTTTCTTTGTTAACTTACATATATTTAGTGTTGTGAGCACCAAAAGTTTCACAATAATAATATTCCTTTTGTTTCGTATTAGTTGTTACATTTTTATTTTACATGACTTATTAAAAATCATAAACAAGAAATGTATTTACTAATTTACTCTTAACTCTTAACAATATAATTAATATTTTTTACTTTAAAAATAATTAATTTTAAGGGAAATTGGAAAAAAAAAGTTATTAATTCTATTTTGATTTTGTAAATTGATAAATATTTTGGAATTGATGTTTTTATTAATGTTGATAATTAATATGAGACTAAGAGAGTATTGAATATTCTTTTCCTTTTTTGGTTTTGGTTTGGACAAAAAAAAAGTAATTCACTTTGGCACCACAACTTATTATCCAATTAATTGCATTCTTTTTTCTTTGTCAAATGTTATCTTAAAACAATAATTTAGTCATTTAATCTTGAGCTACTAATTAAGGTAGCTGTCTATTTCCTTTCAATTACCTCCAATATAGATGTACTGTTTTATGTACTCTAAATTCTAAAATATTCGATTAATTGAAATTTATACCATATCATGAAAAATTACAACAGTAACATATCCAAGTGTGATCCAAAAATATGTACACAAATCTTATTTCTATCATAGTAAGTAGGGGTGTTCACGGTTTGGATAAAAACCGATCCAAACCGAAAAACCAAACCAAACCGATAAAATAAAACCGATTTTACTTGGGTTTGGTTTGGTTTGGTTTTAGATTTTTGAAAACCGATAGTATTTGGTTTGGTTATGGTTTTATTCGAAAAAAACCGAAGAAATAACCGAACCGAACCGATGAATTATATACATATATTTTATTAATATACATACTTAATATATTCTTTTTATAAACAATTTTAAAGATCTTATACATATTTTCATTAAAATTTCTTTATAATTTACTTATTGAAAGCAAAAATGCCAAGATGAAACATTTATCTTATTGATTTCATGTATATGAGTGTCTATGACAATTCTTTGTGGGACTGAAAATGTTATTGTCTCTTCCTTCTAGGCCAATATAGTGAATTTTAAAGCTTTATTGATAGTAAATTTAGTGATTGAAAGTTTAGTAATTTAAGTTATTCTAACTACTTTTCGTTTTGAATGGATTGTTGTCACTTTTTTCACATTTTAATTGAATTGTTTCTTTTATTTTTGTGTATGGTTAATAACCGAATAACCGAACCAAACCAAACCAAACTGAAACCGATAAATGTATATTATATTTGGTTTGGTTTGGTTTTGATAATTTTAAAACCGATTAAGTTGGTTTGGTTTTGGTTTTGACCAATAACCGATCCAAACCAACCCGTGAACACCCTTAATAGTAAGATAGAAAAACAGCTCTCGATAGACCATCAGCTCAAAAACATTACCGGCCATAAATTTAATGTGAAGCTAGTTGAGGCGTTCACCAAATATCACTATATGTCATTATGGACGTTAACTACAAAGTTCATTTCTATCATAACAAACCATACATCATTATCAACCAAAACTACAACCATATAGTTGAATATGAAGTTAACTTGATTTTATATTACTCATCACCTAATTTTTCTCCAGCAAATTAAAGAGTAAATAGTGCATGTTACACAAAAATCTACATCATAAGAAGTTGGAAGCAAGATTAAGCTCAACAAAATGTTGCGAAAAACGCGAAGCATCAGAAATATTTCATTCTCCAAAAAATACATGGTATCAATAGTTTCAAGGTAATAGAAAGTCAGTAAACCTTGAAAAGGCTTATGCAACAATGCTACTGTAACAACATATTCTTTCAAATTTATCATCATTATATGAATCTTAACAAACAAAAAAAATGATGTAAGATGTAAAGGGCAACACTTGAGGCCTTCTGAAAGAATTTTAACAAAGTCAAGCTACCAAAGTAAAACTGGTTGAATTAGAGAGAGTGCAGGTTTTATGGCTTCAAAGCAAGGGCAAGACCCAACTTGGGTACTGAATTATTTGCCTTCGTGTCATACTCGGCTGAGAAAGTAATAAGTGACTTTGGCCTCCATTCCCGCTGGCAAAGCATTGCAACTTTCCCATTGTCAGAAAATCTAGTTTTCAATGATGTTAATGGGTCAACTTTGTGAGCACTCCCGATGCTGAAGCTGTTCTCGTAGGTAGATAATCTGTGTATCATCTCTGCACCGACTTCAGTTCCATTTGCTGGATCTACCGAGTGTACATATGATGCCTTCACAGCTTGTCCCCTATCCGTTCTACATGGATAGCAACAAAAGAGCAGAATAGATACTTGAGATGTGTGAATTAAATTTTCCATGTATTATGCAGAAAGGACAAGCTAAATCTTCAATGAACTTTGCTTTTGACAGAATGAATAAAGCTGATGTACATCATCAATTAGGAAAATAAAAATTGAAGTGTTTCAGCCATCGTATGCATTCTCGGTCATACACTTAATCTTGACCAACTTTTTATGAGCTCAAGAAACAAATGAGAAATGGAATTAAGTTCCAATTACAAACCCTCATTGCAAAGCACCATATAGAGAGCTATATCCCGGACATGCAGATTTCAAGAGTCCGGAGCCAAAAGGGCAAGGCACATCCCCCCACACCTTCCCTTCTTTCCCAAGAGCCCCCCCACCC